ACACCCCCACACCCCCACACCCCCACACCCTACCCCAGAGTATCAAATGGTCGGTCCCTAGTAGGGCTGAGACGGGTTACTCGGGTACTCGAGTCGGGTGGGCCTTGAGTAGGACCAGGGTACCCACATGACTACCCGGGCCCGTGATTTATCACGTGACATACTGTTTAATGACATAAACAATAAAACTCAATGGTAACACTACAAGTATAGCTAATGTTCACATTTCTTTCTCACTATGCAGGCATTCGTCTGACTTTTATATGTTAGAGTAAGGACAAAGCGTTTATCAACTGCAGCGTATACATGATCATGAATCTAAATTGTTTTTGCCAGGGCTGCGGTAAGACAATTCCCATTCGGACATTTTGTACCCAACTCTTGAGACCTATAGCGGGTATCCGGGTAGGGACAGATAATAGGGTGTTGGGTACCCGGGTAGTAAATTTGGTGTTGTCCCAGCCCTAGTCCCCAGCCTTGAATCTTCACACAGATCATATCATACGGGTTATGTGAATATAGGAACCACTATCGGATTATAATATGTCCATTGGTAACAATGTTATTGATCTGTAAAATCTTCTCACATTTTCAGACAACTATAAAAAACCATACAGCCGCCAAGTGAAATGGGCAGAGGGTTGTTAGCCTCCAGCTACCAACCTACGTCATGCGTGGCTACAAGAATCCTTTGAGCAAGTAAACATTTCTTATTTTGAATAGATTATAATATGTTATTATTTTCAGGTTGAGTGCTTTGAAAATTGAGATGTTTCCACTGCCTGAGTATTTCTACTTCCAGGGGTACACTGGCAGCTGTGTGGTCTGTGCTGATAGGCATGTCTAATGCTTGCAATCAGCGGACCACAGTGACCACTCATCTGGCACAAGCCATGACCCCACACAACAGGAACTGAAGCCAGTTCTCCCTGACCAATGATGCTTGAGATACATGCTGTCATATTGGATACATCACACACAACCCCTCCATCCATCACGTCCTCACATAGATACAGTCCAGGCATTAGACTTGCACAGGTCTCTAACATGTCCAAGGCAATAATTATTAGTTTATGTCAATAAAAAGAACAAGTTGTTCCTTAAAGAGATTAGAGTCCTTACTGTCCACATATCTAGACTTGCCTATTAGGAGGACAGAAGTACCATACATCCATGGACTTTTCTTTCAGTAGAGCCTTGGAGCAAGGCTATCCAGTCATGTCATAGCAGATATATCACACACTATCACTTACACACTTAATTCTATTTACTCCCAAATGTACATGATGTAGATACATGTAGTTTGTACCCTGCCCTATGAGGGTGATCTGTACAATAAAACCCTTGATTCTTGATTCTCATAGGCTATGTATTGTATCTGTGTTGATATGTACTATTTTTGTTACCCCAATAATAGAGACATTATGTCCATATCAGGCCCCAACCAGATAACCTATCTGGTCCCTATCAAAGCCGTGGAACTTTGTGAGTTCATGGAACATATGTGACGTAACAACAACAAAATGACATCATACATTCCATTACATCCTTAGAATGACATCACATTTGAGGAGTCAATACTTTTGATCAAAGATGTCAGCAGAGCGGATGATAGCATCTTTTTTGAATAGGAAATAGAACTAGATTAATTGAAAACAAATAACATTTGAAGTGTGATACAAGAAAATATATTGAGAGTATTATGAAAAACAGTATTATAAGGAAGATTGAATGCAACAGGAAAATGCTACAAAACTGTCTTATTTTGAAGTGTGAGGAGAGGAATATTTTGGAAACTGATGGAAGAAGATATGATTTGTATCTGGCTTATGTTTCCTAACTGTGAAAAAGTTTATAAAAATTATGAGCCATACTCTTTAAAATGTAAGCAAGTAGTTTTGCATGATGCCTGAAAGACAAAGAGTAAAGTGTCAACATCCTTACTGACAAAAGCCTCCTACACCACAGGGACATAAAATTCAGGAAGGTCTGGTAACATTTCCTTGTGGACTTCCACCCAATCTCATTAAAATCAGATCTTAGTTCTCGCTATCGCAAAACAAAGATCTGAGGACATCCCATTACGGTTCACGTCAGAACGACCTCTCATCCAACCAATCAAAGAGTCGCTTACGAGATCATGAAAGTGACAATCGGAATGTGTTTTCTCATCATGCAACCTCGAAAACCTTAACACGGGGTATTCCGAATGACAGTTACGGCATGTACGACTGATTCCGTCAAATTTATCGTCTGTCTCTCGCTTCCGTGGATCAAACATTTGAACAGAGGAGGCGTTGCACAGTACATGGGAAATACTGTCATACAATCTCAACCATATATTAGACATTCCGGAATGTTTGTTTGTTCAGTTTTCAAAATTTTAATCGAGAACTGTGCCAACATATTTTTCAAGCGTATTCTGAAATGGAAGTCACCAGGTTGAAACGAGTGCCGTTAAGCTTGAGAAAGCTGCTTTCTAATTGGCTGATGTCGACTTCTTGTTAGTCATTTCAGTGATCGGTCAAAGTTGGCGAAAGGTTGTTCTGACGTGACCCGTAATGGGATGTCCTCAGATCTGTGTTTAGCGGCAGTGAGAACTTAGATCTGATTTTAATGAGATTGACTTCCACCTTTACCATTAGCATGATTAGGTAGAGGATGACTCTGTAACTGATCATAAATATTGAACGCCAGACAGGGAAACAATAAGCACCATCTTAACTCGGCCAGGGGATCGAACCCCCGACCCTCCGCTCAGCCCGACACTATATACTAGCCCATGGAGGCAGTCTACATCAGGTATGATAAGACCATAATATTGTAAATACTTCTGATAATGTAAATGTGCATCCCATGTTTACATAAATCCCCCTTATCTAAACAGAACATACAGCCCTGCCAACAAACTTTCCCTAGCCTCCATTCCATGACACTGTATGACCTGTTAACGGGAACAGGACGTTTGCATTTCTGTGCAGATAGATACCAGTTACACATCTACCTTTACCTTTCTCCTTATCAACACAATACATTGAAAAACATGAAAGAGTTTGTAAATTAAGAATATTTTTAGAAAGATTTAAATTATTGGTCTTATGGAAGAAAAAAGGGTTCCAAACAAAAATACAAAATGTTCTCATGCCTTAAGAATAGGAAGTAATACACAAAACTTTCAAACAAATCTTCTTCATAACTTTGGGGACTCAATATCTGATTGTTAGGGCACTCCGACACATAATGCTATATCGATTCTCCGAGTGTTGGTGCTTCCTCTTGTGCCAAGATACACGTGAGTGGCAATGTCCTACTGCCACTGTGCCACGTCCTCCATATCTCCAGGGCTCGGCTATCGCTCACCTACACTAACCCCTGGATAAATTCCTGTGGTTCTCGCAATCTCAGATTACCTGCCCTTGACTTCCATTTGCCAATTTGATTGGCTACGCTATAAGGCTTAACGTTCCAATCAGAATGCGAGCTACAAACCAGCCTCAATGTTGGGTTGGCAATGTCAACAACATGGCGGCGAGAAATAAGCCCTCAAAAATATTTTTGTCAGAAAGGATGTCTTTATGTTCATTAGAACTGGTGATGGCTTTGGTTTCTAGGTAATATGAGTTACCTCCCTTCACCCTTACCCTTTCACTTATGTCGACATTTGATTGGCTGGTAAAATGTTTTTGAAAATCAAGGGCGACGGCAAGAATCACTGGAATGGATCGAGGGGTTAGTGTATGTAGACTGAAATTCTAGGCCTGGAGACCTAGAGGGTGCTTTGCCACTGCTGATATCAAGATACTTAGTCTTCAAAACAGAGCGTATCACATCTCACAGTTTACATTTGATGACTTGTTTGCACCAGTAAGCTGACAAGATCAAGGTCACATATTTGTCTCTTATTGAAATATACATACTTTCCCCACGCCTCCAAACTTAAAACCTACCCATCTGTGAGGTGTATTGAGAACAACTTCCACACGTCGTGCAGGGCACATTCATATATCTGTTTGTCTTCTATCTTCACGTCAGACCTAAAGATTTCAACTTTTCATAGTGTGTTTTCATAGCTGCAAAGTGTGGTTTACTTTCAATGCCATAAATACTGCTCAATTTCTGTCAGGGAAACTGATATTTGTCTTATTGTTACATAGCAGGGGTCGAATTAACTGCTGGCCTGTTAGACCGTGGCCAGCAAAAAGTATGCCTGGAGATTTCAACTTTTCATAGCTGCAAAGTGTGGTATACTTTCAATACCATGTATACTGCTCAATTTTTGATAGGGATACTGATATTGTTCTTACTGTTACACAGCAGGGGTCGAATTAACTGCTGGCCTGTTAGACCATGGCCAGTGAATATTACAAAAAGCTTGCTGAAAAATAAAGTAGATAGCCCGTCTGACTAGTCAAAATTTCACCCCTTCTCTGTGCATGTTTAATTTTTTTAATTTGACAGTGTTTGTGAACCATATAATTTCGAAGAGAAAATACTTAGGGGGGAAGTCGTGTGAATGGTTGGCTCAAAGATCATCTCGGTAGAATGACACAACCGGCAGCCATTTTGTAATATTCTCTGCCACATCTTTATTTGGTCACGGAGAACATCCCTACCAAACATTGAGAAGTATATTATCAATCAGCTAAAGTGATAAGACGTCTGTATGTTGTTTTACTCTGTGTGTCAGTGTGCAAAAAAACTGCTGGTAACTTTTCTGTCGGGCTGCATGAAATTTTCCTCCACCTGCCCGACTGTCTGGCAGATAATTTAAGACTGTTTAAATATTCAATTTTATTAAGGTAGATTCTCAAGTAATTGGTTGCACTATTTCAACTGAATTGAAACAAAGACGCAATTTGTCTCATATTTTTTGCAATTTTCAATGTTAGTAATGTCAGAATGCGGGCAGGTAACTTTCAACACTCATTGGTTACCTGCTCGTTTTTTTTATATTATTTCACATACTGCTGTGTGTTGTTCTACTGAAATCAAATCCTTACCTCGAAATTTCTTGGGTGGGTTGTTGAGATCCCCTGCATCGGGTTGCACCACACATCTGTCATCAACCAGACTGAAACACATGGCAATAAAATAAATTAATTCAGAGATGAGTCTCTTCACACTGTAACTATGACAAATCAGTGGAAGAGGACAGATCATGCTTATTCACATTAGTATAGCATGGTGGGGCATGGGTGACCAAATCATCTAAGGTGATTGTGGTTTGAATCCCTAAGTTTTCTAGGTTTGTCAGCTCCATACCACTCTCTCTCTAGTGAGCTTTTCTGGTCCCCTGGATAACAACAGAATAATAACTAAATCAAATGTCACTGAGCCAAGGTTTCTTTTCTAACATATATAGGACACATCCTGATCCAGTTGAAACTGCAGGGACAGACATGAAGCTGTAATCAAGTGTGCAACTCACAAAGAACATCAAGTCATGCCCTTTAGAACTTCAGTGTGCCAAAAGTAAGAAAACATCTTTTAATACACAAAAATGGACACAGGTTAATTGAAATTGTGTGCATGAAGTGTGTTCATATGTTCATCGTCTTCCTTGTGTTTTTCACTTTACTTGTGCAAAGCATGTTAAGCTTTAGAAATTAACCAACATGGGACGATATAAGACAGGGTTCACAGTGATAGAAATTTGCACATGTTCCACAGTCCTTGCCAAACTGCCAAATAGTTATGGTATAAGGACTTGTAGTTTAAGGGTTTTGCTATATATTATCATTATAAGGACTAGTGGACTAAAACTGTTAGTTTCTATTGATGCAGGATTGTCTTACATAAGAATGCAGCGTTAGAAATTGGCCCTAGCCCTGTAGTCCTTGCCAAACTGCCCAATAGTTAAGGTTTCACAAGGCCGGGAAGGACGAGCTGAAATTGGCCATTTATAAAGGTTTTGCTATATGTTATCGTTGGTTGGTTGGTTGGTTGGTTTGTTGTTTAACGCCGCACTCAGCAATATTCCAGCTATATGACTGCGGTCTGTAAATAATCGAGTCTGGACCAGACAATCCAGTAATTAATATCACGAGCATCGATCCACGTAATTGGGATCGATGACATGCATCAACCGAGTCAGCGAGCCTGACCACACGATCCCGTTAGTCGCCTTTTACGACAAGCATAGTCACCTTTTATGGCAAGCATGGATTGCTGAAGACCTATTCTACCCCGAGTCAGCGAGCCTGACCACCCGATCCCGTTACTTGCCTTTTACGACAAGCATAGTCACCTTTTACGGCAAGCATGGGTTGCTGAAGACCTATTCTACAATGGATCTTCACGAGGTTCACGGGTCTCTCGTTGTAAGGACTACAGGACTAAAAATGTTAATTTTTATCCCTGACGTTCATCACTGGCTTCATCATGTTCATAAAACAAACATCTCCACACACACTTCTCAGGGATAGTGAGTACGGTTTTACGCCGCTTTTAGCAATATTCCAGCAATATCACGGCGGGGGACACCAGAAATGGGCTTCACACATTGTACCCATGTCGAGAATTGAACCCGGGTCTTCGGCGTGACGAGCGAACGCTTTAACCACTAGGCTACCCGACCGCCCCTCTCAGGGATAGATTTCACAGGGTTGTAAAAAGGAGGTCCTGAAGTATAGCAAGTTCTGAGTATGGGCTAACTGGTGCAACACTCTGCAATGCAGCAATCACAAAAATAGGTTTGCCTCCAATCAATATCCCTTCAAAACTTTGCCATGATTAATATTTGTTTAAGTGTCTATAAGAATAATAACCCAATTCTTTCATATAAATAAATATAGTTAAATTTATAGTTAATTACCATGAAGATTCAGGTTAGAATTGGTCTTCAGCAACTCATGCTTGTCGTAAGAGGCGACTAGTGGGATCGGGTGGTCAGGCTCGCTGACTTGGTTGATGCATGTCATCGTGTCCCAATTGCGAGGATAGATGCTCATGATGTCAATCACTGGATTGTCTGATCCAGACTAGATTATCTACAGATATCGTATGTAAATGATTGAGGCTGGGCCAGTCAATCCAGTGATTGACATCATGAGCAACGCAATTGGGATACGATGACATGCATTAACCAGGTCAGTGAGCCTCTTATGACATGCATAGTTGCCTTTTACAGCAAGCATGGGCTGCTGAAGACCTATTCTAACCTGGATCTTCACAGGTCCAATATCAAATGAGTCAAAGGTCAAAGGTCATAACTATACTGATAAAATCAGTTGAGCATTAATCCGGGAAGTCATGTGTTCACTAGCCCTATAGAAAATGCACAAGCATGGGTCTTTGACCTTTCAGTGATAAATGCATACTGTTGATATAATAACAGCTGGAGGAATTAGAAAACTGTTATCCTGAAGCGTATACTAGCAGGACTAATAGTAATAACATAAGGACAAGCTCTCAGGATACCTTTACCATTAGACGAACTGACTCAAGCCATCCTCAGGACCAGTGCAAGTTTCTATCACTGTGTTTCAGAGGTAGAAACTAACATTTTTAGTCCACTCGTCCTTATAATGACAACATATAGCAAAACCCTTAAAAATGGCAAATTTCTACTAGTCCTTATGATACCTTAACTACTGAGCGGTTTGGCAAGGACTACAGGAATAGTGCCAATTTCTAGCGCTGTGTTTGCTGAGCATCACTGATCCCAAACCATGTTGATATGAATTTACACTCCTGTATGTTGAAGGAAACTAATGGTCAGTCTGAACATGCTGGACAGTGTTGAGGGGGGTTTGTGCTTGAGTTCATCCATGGTAGTTTAATCTGGGGACCCCTAAATGTTTAACTTTTAACATTAGGGTTATGACAAGGACACCTTGATTTTTTACCACTGCTAGTGTATAACCTAGCACATGTGAATGTCTGCAGCCATAGAAACTTATTGTTTTAGTTCACTAGACCTTATAATGATAACAAATAGCAAAACCCTTAAAAATGGCAAATTTCTACTAGTCTTTATGATACATTAACTATTTGGCAGTTTGGCAAGGACATTAGGACAAGAGTCAATTTCAATCGCTGTAGAGTCTAGTGTTTGATTGTTGTTCAACACCACACTCAGTAATATTCCAGCTATATGACAGTGGCCTGATTGTAGATAATCGAGTCTGGACCAGACAATCCACTGCCACAGAGACTGACCATTAGCACTAGCCATACCATAACTACCCAACTGATGCTCATGATGTTAATCACTGGATTGTCTGTTCTAGACTCAATTATGTACAGACCACTGTCATATAGCTGCAATACTGCTGTGTGCAGCATTAAACATCAAACAAATGAACAACATGGCATCACAGATAACTATACTTATATGAACATGATGAAAGAATCAGGTTTTCTTTAACTTCTTTTCAGTATCTAACCAGAGCCTGCGTTACATGGTGGGCACTATAGGTCCCGTTAGTTTGCTAATCCAGCTGCTACGTGAAGAAAGTGGTATCTGCAAGAAGGAAATGGGGTGATGAACAACCATTCTCCCAGGTCTTTTTCAGCACCACACATATATCATGATATATATCCCTGCAAGTGTTGCCAGGACTACTACCAGCCACGACACATTCTTTACTCTAACCTAATTGTGTTTTTACTAACTTACACCCAGTGGGCCCAGTTATCAGTTATTTTAGCGAAAAACTACCAGTGCAATGATCACCTGCCCAGACCTGGTGGAAGAAAATATCGTGCAGCCTGACAGAAAAGTCACCAGCCATGGGCAGGCAGGCAGGCAGGCTACATTCCAACTGCAACCCACCTCTGAATTACCCATCATAAACAAAACCCACTTGAACATGTTCAATGAGTCTGGCGCTGACAAACCAAGAAACAAAACCAGGGCGAACCAGGATTCGAACCCATGATCATAAGTTTCTTTTGTGCACAGTGGATTGTGGCGCCTTAAACAGCTGCTCCATCCCAGCCCGGGCCTACTGGTCCAAAGCACAAGTCTTTTTACTACCGTAGTCCATGTTGTAAAATTAAAATATACTGAACGCAATGCCACAACACAATTTCGGGCTAGTAGGCTCCAAAGTTGTTGGCAGAGACTGATCTCCTACTTCAGTTTGTCGGACTTCAGTCAGACTTTCCCATACATTTTCTATTTCAGCACATCTCAATCCGCAACCCCCAAAGCCTGAGTTCAGTCAAATGTCTTTTGGTCTCACAAGCATATTTATGATTAGCTAATACAAATCCACAAATTAACAGTAAAGTCTACTAGTTGAAGCGATAAACTTGGACCAGTAGTTTTGTCACAGACAGATATACCTGTGTGTGGGTCACAGTTTCCGTCACAAAGGAGAAGCTGCCGTCGTTCATGTTTAATTACATGTCTGCAAAAGGACATTTAACTACGCAGATAATGAAGTGATAAAGTGTAAATGGACTGCTACACAGGGCCTTGGATCTGAGACTGATGTAGAAAGATTTTCCCTTGTTGGTACTTAGATTCAGGACAATCAATAACTCCCACGACTACCTCCTTGGCATCCTTGACAAAAACCCATAACTAACCAACAGATCTATTTATCAGCCAACTCTCTGTGAAACCAATGGATGGTCATCCTGTCAATCAGTGTCCGAGATAACTGCTTGCCCGTCTGCCCATGGCTGGTTACTTTCCTGTCGGGCTGCATGAAATTTTCCTTTACCTGTCCGACTGTCTGGCAGATATTTTTAAGACAACTTACATATTCAGTTTTATTATAACTCCTTGTATATTCTGAAGTAATTGTTTGCATTATTTCAACTGAAACAAGATGTGATTTGTCTCCTAGTTTCTACAATTTTTCAATATTTATAACGCCTGAACCTGTCATCCTGTCAATCAGGACATTGTCATACTGTCGTTCAAAACATTGTCCTCCTGTCAATCAAGACATTTTCAAACTGTCTATCAAGGCATTTTCATACTGTCTATCAAGACATATTCATACTGTCTATCAAGACATTTTCAAACTGTCTATCAAGCAATTTTTAAACTGTCTATCAAGGCATTGTCATCCCGTCAATCAAGGCATTGTCATCCTGTCAATCAAGACATTGTCC